TTGGAGCTGGAATGTCCCTCAAAGGCTCTTGTGTGGAAGGCTTGGTTTCCAGTGCAGAAATGTTCAGAGGTGGGGTTTGGCGACGTGAGTGGATCTTGAGGATTCTGACCCCATCAATGAATGAATCCACTGGCAGGTCTATAATTGTATGGATTATTGGGAGGTGATGGAGACTGCTGTAGGAGTAGGTCACTGGGGGTGTGCCCTGGAAGGGTACATTTTATCCCTGGCACCTTCCTCACTCTCTGCTTCCTGGCCACCCTGAGGTGAGCAGCTCTGCTCTGCCATGCGCCCCCACCAGCCTCACCATGGGCTGAAACCCTGAGCCCATCATGAAATCTTTCCTCCTCTTAAATTGTGTCAGCTGTTTTGTCACTGCAACAAAAAGCTAAGTAACACATTACGGTAAATAAGGACATAGCGTGGGACCTAATCCCATAGGACTGGTTTCCCTCTGAGAAGAGGAAGAGATACTAGAAGCCACATAGATACACAACCAGAAAGTGGCCAAAAGAGGGTAGGAATCCACCTGCTGACCCTTGCCTCCAACTGCCAGCCTCCAGAACTATAAGGAATGAGTTCTGTTCTTTAAGCTGCCCAGTCTATGGTGTTCTTTACGGCAGCCCTGCCAAAGTAACACAATCTGCCATCAGCACTTTTCCTTTTTCCAAATAACTCTGGCTATTCTAGGTCTTTTGCTTTTCCAAATACAAATTTAGAAGCAGGTTATCATTTTCTACATAAAGCTTACTGGTGGTTTTGGGATTGCATGGATCTATAGATCAACTTTGGAAAAACAGGCACCTTAACAATATTGTGTTGATAAACACAATATTTAGATAATTTTAAATTTCTCTCATCAAAGTTGTAGTTTTCAAACTGGTCTTTTAAGTCTTTCATTAAATGTATTCCTAATTATTTTAAGTATTTATGTATTTTTTAATTTTTTTTTTTAGTTTTAGACACACAATATCTTTATTTTATTTATTTTTATGTGGTACTGAGGATTGAACCCAGAGCCTCACAAGTGCTAGGTGAGTGTTCTACCACTGAACCACAACCCCAGCCCAGTATTTATATTGTTACTACTGGAAACACTGTTTTTAAACTAGTACGCAGAAATATCATTTTTGTGACCTTGTATCTTTAATTTTGATAAATCCTGTTTATTTTTAGAATCTTCTATGTGGACAGTCATGTGAACAAAAAGAGAAACTTTTTCTATTTCCCTTCCAATCTTTGTGTCTTCTGTTCCATTGACTTAACTTATTGAATAGGATCTCCAGTATAAAATGTTCTTGCCTGGTCCCCAGTTGTAGGGGAATATGTTTAGTCTTTCATTATTAAGTATGCTACCAGTAGGGCTGGGGCTGAGGCTCAATGGTAGATCACTCCTCTCCCACGTGTGAAGCCTTAGGTTCGCTCCTCAGCACTATATAAATAAAGGCATTGTGTCCATCTACAACTAAAAAAATTTTTTTTAAATGTTAGCTGTAGGTAGATACCTTTTTGCCCAACTAGGAGTTTCTATAATGTTTCTACCTTTGGGAGCTTTTAGTTAGTTTGTTCTGAGACGGGGTCTCACTGTGTTGCCCAGGCTGGTCTCAAACTTTGGGCTCAAGAGATCCTTCCAGCTCAGCTTCCCAAGTGCTGGGATTAGAGGTGCAAGCCACTGAGTTCAGCTGTAGAGGTTTTAAAAATCATTGGTCCTAAATTTTTTTCAGATTTTCAGTGTTCAGCCAGTTTTTGTTTTATTAATATGGTAAGTCACATTGATGTTCTTGTTCTTTTTTCTTTTCCTTTGCTGTGCTGAGGATCAAAGAGCCTCTGGGAGGCTCAGAGCTCTACCACTGAGCTATACCCTCGACCCCTTGATGGATTTTCTTTTTTGATTTTTTCTTTTCCCCTCACTATTGGGGTGCTATACCACTCAGCTATATCCCCAGCCCTTTTTATTTTTTATTTTCACATAGGGTCTCGCTCAATTACCCAAGCTGGCCTCAAACTTGTGATCCTCCCGCCTTAGCCCCTGCAGTCGCTGGGATTGCAAATGTTCCACCATGCCTGGGATTTTCCTTGTTAGAATGTCATCATCAGGATGTGGTGTCATGGATTTGGGGCCTTATAAAGTTAGTTGCAGTGTCCCCTTCACCTCTGGTTTCTGAAATAATTTACATTACTTCATTAGATGTTTCATAATTTAGATTTTTATGAGACAGTTTTTCAATGAATTTAATATATAGGATTATTTCAATTTTTCATTTCTTTTTGAATCAGTTATGACAATTTATCAGAGAATGTTTAGTTCATTTAAATTGTTGAATTTGTTGAAATCAGATGTTTGCTCATTATCCTTTTAGTATCTCTAGGTATTTAACCTCAGGTGTTTCTCATTCTACTATTCATTATTTGTATTCAATCTTTTTTCTTCCTACTATTGCCAATTTATCAATTTTACTAATCTTTTCAAGGAACAAAGTTGTAACTTTGTTAACTTTTTCTAATATTGTTCTTCTTTTTTTAGTTTCTTGGATCATTGATTTTTAAACTCATGTTTTTTACATTATATTCACATAAAATTACACATTTCCCTTTGAAGAATGCCTTAGCTTCAACTTACACATTTTGATATTTTGTGTTTTCCTTTTCATTCAGTTAAAAATATTTTCTGACTCAAAAAGAAATGAACAATTGAAATAATCCTATATAGTAAGTTAAAGGAGGCTCTCTATTCACAGGCTCCCCGGCACAGTCCTCACAGAGGTCGCCAGAGGGAGGATCAAGTGGATAAGGGGTCTTGGGCATGTGCCTCAGGTCTGGCAGCATGGGCTTTGGGGCTGACTGCTGGGCAGGGATAAGCCACAGATGTCCCCTGCTTGTCTACACAGGAGAGGTAAGGGCTATAGCAGCTGTAGCAGACCACCACACTTAGTGCCTTAAAACGGCAGGAATGTTCTTTCTTTCTTACAGTTCTGGAGACCTGAAGTCATTCATTGTCACCAGGTTGAAATCGAGGTGTCTGCAGGGCCAGGATCCCTCAGGAAGTTCCCAGAGGGAGTCCATCTGATGCTCACTTGTTACATTTTCTGGTGGTGCTACCAATCCTTGACTGTATGGTGGCCGTCTTGCTCTGGTTTTCATGGTGAGTCTGTCAAGTCTCTCTGCTCCACCTGCGCCTTTTCCCCTGGGTGTGCCGCTTCTCCCTCTGCCTCCATCTCGGGAGGTTATGTGTGATTGTGTCAGGGACTGCCCTGAATCCTCAGCTTATGGTCTGGAACTTCATCATAGCTGCAAAGACTCTTCTTTCAAATCGGGTAATATTCCAGGGGTTAGCACCTGATGTCTTAAGTTCCAGGGGTTAGCACCTGATGTCTTTGGAGTTGTTATTCAGCCTTCCTGCAGAGGTCAGTGAGATAAGGCCAAGGAGGAGGATGTTCAACAGGACATAATCCCGGAGACCCATACCCTCTGGGGCCTGATGAGACTCACCTGGGGCAAGGAAGTCTAGGGGCCCTGCCAACTAGTAGATGGTCCTGGGAAGGGGGGAGGATTTTTCTTAGGGGGCTCATTCTTTGTGGTTTCACCAGTGGGATTCAAAACCTTGTCCAAGAGGGAAGCAACTTTGGAGCAAACTCAGAGTCCCCCAAGGAATTCAGGGCTTCAGAAGCACAGGTGTGAGGCAGGAGTTGTGAGAAAAGGCGGAGGAGGAAAAGGCAGCTCCAAGGTGTAACATTTCTCAGCATGGGTGGTGCCGCACCTCTGGCCCTGGGCTAGATGTTATGGAGCCATCCGAGGATGCTTTGGTTGAAGATGACCTGGGATCCAGAGTCCCACTAAGCTCAGCTAACATCAGTCCATCAATGTGAACTCATATATGATTTCAAGATTTTTCAAATAACTACTTAAGTAAAAATAGACAGGTAAAACAAATTTTAACAATATATTTCATTTAACCTAGTATATCTAAAATATTTTCTGAACTTATATACTTGAACTTAAATCAATGTAAAAATCATTAATGAGGTAGACTGTACTCTTTTTTTGTCCCAGGTCTAGACCAACCAGAGCAGCCAGCCACATTTCACGTGCTCAATAGCCATAGGTGGCTAGTGACCCACGGCTGCCCTATTTGGCAGTATCAGTTGAGGCCCTCACTCCATTTTATGTACAAAACTGAGTATCTTAGGAATTTTAATGTACTTGAAGGTACCAGGAATGCTGGTATCATACAAGTAGAGGCTTGAGACTTGATTGTATTTCTGATTTTTCTGAACTTTACCAAGATCTGTTCATTCTCCTGTTTAAAGTGTTTGAGTCCCCAACACACAACACCCATCTGAATAAACTATGTTGGTCACTATGCACATGATAAAATTCTGTCTGTGGGCTCACACACTAAGAGCTTCACTATTGTATTCTAGAAGCTTCTAGTGTACGTGCCTGCCAGAGAATCAACCTACTGAAGCACATGTTCCTTTATTTCTTCTTTATATCATAGTGTAGTATTATGTCGATTTCTAAAATTTATGTGCGAAGGTGGCTTATATTATGCATTAGCTTAATATTAGGTTATTATAGGAGGTAGTTAAATGTTACTAAATTAATATTTGGCTATTGTTAAAATGAAATGACAGTTATAAGTAAAAATATTAGAAATACTAGTTATAAAAATGCTGGGGGCAAGGGAAGGCTGTTGGAGGACATTTAGCAGAGGAAGGGATCTGGATTGAGGTTTTAAATTAAATCTCTTTATCTCTTTAAGAGACAACTGGTCTCTATTATAGGTATACAGAAAAATAATTTGCTCTTTGATTACTTTTACATGTCAAAGCCACATCAAACATTCTTAAAGTGTGGAAAACCTGAGATGCCTTCAGATTATTTTACAAGGCCTAGTCCTCCCAGCAAAGATCTCCCACCATGTAGGATGACTTTTTAAGTGCCATTTTTTTCTTAATAAGTCAAATATTTATTTTTAAATATCAGATCTTTACTCTTACCCATTTGCAATTCAATTCCTGGTCTTGATCTAATTACATCTTCTGAGTTCCCTCTGTTGAAGATTTCCCTCTAAGTCCTTTAAAGTATGGTGGAGCCATTAATGATTTACCTAAAGATTCAAAGAATATTATAGTGTTATAATGAAATGATTTCTAGTTATACAACAGTGTGCTTCATAGGAAACTATATTCTATGCTGCTTTTAATCTTTCTTTCTTTCTTTTTGGTACTAGGAATTGAAACAGGGTGATTTGCCACTGAGCTTCATCCCCATCCCCATTTTTTTTTTTTCTTGTGAGACAGGGTCTTGCTAAATTCCTGAGGCTGGTCTCAAACTTGTAATTTTCCTGCCTTGGTCTTTTGAGCTGGGGTTACATGAGTGCACTGCTGAGCCTAGCACCTGCCTTCTTATCTTTCTCAATACCAGTAAAAATAAAGAGAACCCCTTAGCTGGGAATTCATCTCGGTGGCAAAGAACCCGCAGTGGTAAAGCATATGTGAGTCCCCAAGTTCAGTTGCCCTGCACTGCAAAACCAAACCAAACCTCATTAGTTGGAATGTAATAACTAGTAAGACAAAATGAAATTTATTTTTAGGATATTACAAATATAAATTTAGAAGTTTGAAGGCCCTTTAGCTAAGTTTCTTTCCGCCCCCCCCCTTTCCTGTAACTTTCTGTGTTGTTCACAGTCTCTCACCTTCAACTGAGAGGCCTGGGGATAGTAGCCCCCAGTCCTCAGCACAAGGCCTGCCCCATGGCAAATGACCAATAAATATTTGTTGATTCACTTGCTCTGTTTGTCCTCTTCCTCTCATGCTTTGAGGGAACTGTAATGTCCACTGTTTGCCCAGCACTTTTTATGGGCCACGCCCTGTGCCAGGTGTTTGAATCCTTCCATCAACTCTTCAAGGTGAGAGTTATCATCCACATTTTACAGATGAGATGATTTATCTTTCTGTTTTCCACAGAGGCAGCCCTGGTGACTTACATGCAATCACTAACTAAAAATGGGTTGAGCTAATTTAGGATTTA